AATCATGTGATCTGGATTGAATTAATCCGGCTTGGATCTTTAAATCACGTGAAACTACCTTGCTTTAGTGGACCCCCGTTTTGGGTATCTTTACTATTATTAGGGGGATTTTCAATAATTATATTGGGTATGTAGGTAGAATGAGACGAATGATAAATAATTTACATCAAAACATGATTTTTATCACTAGTGTCGACTTGGAAAGAAATCAAATCAAGACATGAATATATTATCTTCATCTTCATACCAAATTTTTCGAAAGTGTCGTCCACTTCCACTTTTTCGGTATCTATTTACTAGTCCAGTATGCCACAAAGGAAGGAAAGGATATTTTGAAAGATTAAAACGCGAGAATCCTCAAAAACCCAGAACCGTGCCTATTTCCCAAATAGACCCGAATGCCAGTGACGAGTACTTCAAAATAACATTACGACGTTCTACCATTGGGCTTCCTGAAAAAATACGACGTATAGTAAAAGCACTTGGTCTGAAAAAATTACATAGTACAGTTTATCGTGAACAACGGCCAATAATTGCCGGAATGATTTTAAAAATAAAGGAACTTGTCGAGGTGGAAAATGTGCCAAGCATCCCTGAAGATACAAGTAATAGCCCGGATCGAGGTTATGTGATTATTAAAAGAAATAGAGTCAATTCAAAGTAATCACAGGACATTATTTTTTATTGTTATATAAAATTAAATGTTTGTTATTACATGGCAAAAAATTGTTAAGCAGGAAGATTAAATTCTTTTGGCGATTCAAATGTTACATGAACTTGCGCAGAACGTGCAAGTTTAACAATTTGTGATAGTTTGACAGCTTTGATGGCTGCCTCATCAAAATCGTCAGTAGAGATTATGCGAATATCTGAATTTGCGATTAATTCTTTTGCAGCCTTCACTTCAGTGCCTTTTTAAGGAATAAAAAATTCATTAATATAATTTTTAAATAAACAATAAGATTCACAAAAATTTAGTATACCTTGCAATCTTAAAATAATCGGAATGTTAAGCGATAATTGTTTGGTAGCTTCGAGAACACCTTGTGCAATAATATCACAGCGCATAATACCACCAAAAATATTTACGAATATGGCAGTAACATTGGGGTCAGCTGAGATGATCTTGAAAGCTTCTGTGACTTGTTTAGCAGTGGCACCGCCACCAACATCCAAAAAATTAGCGGGTTCTCCACCATAAAGTTTTATGATATCCATGGTCGCCATTGCCAATCCAGCACCATTAACTGAAATTTTTAACGTTCAAATGATATATAAATCAGAAATTAGCGGTAATAATCAATCAGATTTTTTCAAGATTACCTAAACAACCAATTTGACCATCTAAACCAATATAATTCAAGTCGTAATTTGCGGCCTCAACTTCTCGAGGATCTTCTTGCTTAGTGTCACGTAAGTCAAAGATATCCTTTTGACGGAACTCGGCATTATCGTCAAAGTTAATCTTTGCATCCATCGCCAGAACTGTGATTTATTATGTTAGTAATTATTGTTACCCTAATTCTTGGTATTAAAATGATGCAAGTTCATTACCTTCATGATCAGCAGATTCTGCTAGAGGATTTATTTCCACCTGTGTAGCATCTTTTTCAATGAAAAGTTTGTAAATTCGAGTAAACAGCTCGGCAGCCTAATTATGGTAAATTAAGTCACGTCGAAAAAATTCACAATTCAAAATTTTGGCAAAAAACTAACGATAATATTGTGTACATACATCATCAGAAATCTTGGGAGAAAAACCCAATTGTTCGGCCAATTTCTTCGCATCGTCTTTTTTCAAACCAACATTTATATCAACCGGTAGTGTTATAATAGCCTCGGGACTCTCAGCTGCGACACTTTCAATATCAACTCCGCCTTGAGAAGAAGCAACAACAACTGGCCCTTGAGATTTTCGATCTTGCAATATCGCAAAGTAATATTCATGACGAACATATTTTCGCTCGACAACAAAAACCTTTAATGAATGAAAATTACATTTTAGAAATCTTAGGTAAATTGATTGAACATTTTTTTGACAACCAAGAATCAAGCTTACAGAGTTGCATATTTTGCCACCAGGGCCAGTTTGTTTTGTTACAAGTTTATGGCCTATCATTTTTTCAGCGCATTTCTTTGCTTCTGTGGGACTAAATAAATGATCATTAATTCTTACTTAGTATGGATTGAATTATTATGACGAACTTAAATATAATGCAAGTAAAACATACGAGTTAACGATTTTTACACCACCCTTTAGACCACTATCGAAAGTACCTTTACCACGACCACCAGCAAGAACTTGAGCTTTAATGACCACGTCTCCTTCTTCTTTACCTAATTCCGGTCACAGCATTGCCAAAATTTGATCAAAAAACACCATGGATAGCTCGATTTCATTCAAAATAAGCTAAAGATTCCACAATGCTCGAAAGTCACAACTTTTATACTTTGTCTCAAGTTCAGCAAATCGAGTTTTTTTCAGATGCTGAAATTATACTTGCACCGCTTACCAAGTTTCTCGGCAATTTCGTAGGCTTGTGTTGGAGTTTTAGCGACAAATCCTTTTGGCGTATTCACACCGTACTTGTTCAACAAGTCAATTGATAAATATTCATGAATGGCAAGGAATCGTTTTTGTTGCCCTTTAGAGAGCTGTTTGAGAGATGAAAAGCATCAAAATTATTGCAATTATATTGCTGAATCAAACCTAGGAAAATGTCACCTAACCAAAGAAGCTTGACTTGTCAGGGATTTCGTTAATTTCAACGAGCGAAACATTTTTTTTGAACAATGATAGAATTACTGTTACCGAAAACTATTATTTTTTTATGTGTAACCTTTTGCAGAAAATTTCGTTAAATGTTAATTTCACATGTTCCTCTAACTGTTATGTATATAAAACGCTGAAAAAATATAATTTTCGATGATTGCTTCAAACTTTTTTTGCCATTTTGACAATAATGATAACGATAACTTGTTCGTTATATATTATCGTTGCCATTTTTGACAATAATGATAACGATAACTTGTTCGTTATATATTATCGTTATCGTTATTAAATAATTTCGGATTAAAATCGATACGGGTCCGGCCAGCGTTATTACTGGACTGGATTATAAAATTACAAAGTTCAGTGGCGCAATATTGGGGTCCGGATAACATTTTCACCAGATACTTTTTTTAGTTAACAAAATGTCTACACAGAGTAATATTCCCAATACTAACATTCGAAAAAAGGCAAAGGACATTAAACCTAAAATAAAAAGACCCGAAACAGAGGACCAAAAGGTCCAGAAAAAACTCAGCAACATTCTCATTACACAAATTTACCGCGAGAACTCTGCGAACGTCGCGTACAAATGCATTGAAACATTGTTGAAGGTGATAGATAATATCAAGAAGGATCCCCTCGAAGTAAAATACCGACGGTTGGGAGTGGACAAACCGCTGGTCAGGAATAATTTGAGAAATGTCAAAGGTGGCATGGAATTCTTGGTGGCGATCGGGTTTCGACGGTCGGTAAAGGATTTCAAAGGTATGAATGATCTTTGGTGTCTTCTTGTTTGGTACAACATTTGCAAATTTCATTCATTTGTTTGTTTATAATGTAAAAAGAGGTTTTCTCGCTCGAAATTCCAAAACCCGCCGACAATAGTAATGAAATTGATGACGATAAATTGTGGATTCAGACTTCAGATCTGGAAATTGCTCATGAATTGCTACAAGAAAGCCTCAATAAAGCTCTAGAACGAAAAGAAACACACGAACGAATGTTAGAGAAGGAAAAACAAGAAGAGGGGAAACGTAAAGAGGAAGTGTTAAAACAAATCGAGGAAGATCGGGAGGCGAGAGCTCAAGCAAGAGAACGTCTTCAATTGAGAAGGAAACATGAACAGGAAGAGAAAGAGAAAGAAAAGAAGGAAGAAATGGAGCAATCAAGACAGCGAGAAGATGATCTGGACAGAGAACAAGCAAATCTTAATACGGGGTTCAAACTTGGCGAATTGCAAAATCCAAAGTTGGATAATTATGATAATTACGATGACGACAACAATGATATAAATTTTTAATCATTACGCGCGTTGAAATGTATAAATTTATGTGTTACAACTATTTTTCCAAATCTATAAATAAACAATTTGAAATGCCATTTCTCGCACGAAACTATTTTACCATTACTTGTAAAATACACATTACGATTTTCTCTGCTCTTTTGGTTCATGAAAAATTCTCAACACAGTCTTCTAAAAACTTATTTAATAATCATCAAATTCCAATACTTACTTTATCGTCCCAAAGTTCATCTAATAACGGAACCAAAGACGCGTCGTTTAAACGGTTGTTTCTGAGTATGGCATGGTTTAGCTCTGGTTGGTTTTAATTCAATTCGTAAACGAGTTCGCTCGGAATAGCTCTCGTATACTTTATTCCGATTAATGACCAAAAACTATTCAATAATAAAAGCAAGCAGTAATGAGGGTTTAGTAAACAATTTGAAACGTGCAAAAATCATAAACTCTCCGAGAGTTGATGCAGCAATGAAGGCAGTGGATCGAGGAAACTATGTTGACTTTGAACCATATCAAGACTCTCCACAATCTATAGGATATGGTGCTACTATCTCGGCACCGTGAGTACCAAAATCACTACTTATAACTATACAAAGAAATGAAGTGATGAATTTTTCGTTTCATCTTTTTAATTGAATAAAGTCATATGCATGGTTATGCACTTGAGTCGTTAGAAAAGTTTATGCAACCTGGCGCAAAAGGTAAAAGGAAAATAAATTTATTCAGAGATTCGTTTTGGCATCGTTAATGATCTAATCTAATCAATTTGAATTATGTAGTTCTGGATGTTGGTTCAGGATCAGGATATCTGACTGCTTGTATGGCTGAAATGGTAAAATGAGCGCAACACTTAGTAGAATATTATCATTTTTCTTAACGTTAATGCATACCTTGTCTTAGGTTGGACCTGAGGGTACAGCGGTTGGACTCGAGCATATCCCTGAACTGGTAAAATTGGCAGAAAAAAATGTCCAAAAAGATCATCCAGAGTTTCTCGAGTCGAAAAGAATTAAATTTGTACAGGGTGATGGGAGGAAAGGATATCCGGTGGATGCACCTTACGATTGCATGTATGTATTCTCTGGAATTTCCTACAACGTAACACTTTATTCCAATAATTTAACCATTCAATTTAAAGTCACGTTGGGGCCGCAGCTTCACGAACACCACAAGCATTATTGGATCAATTGAAAACCCCGGGAAGGAAAGTTTAATAAGATAAAGTCGCAATTTTGGAATTATAGCTTTCTTATATAGTTGTATGATACATACAGGTTATTTATTCCTGTTGGCACCTCTTCGCAAGATATTTATCAAATTGACAAAGATGAGAATGGCAACATTACCAAAAAACGTTTAATGGGCGTTATGGTATGAAGGATTTTCTTTTTTTTTTCTTTGTCATAATTCTCTTTTTAAAAACGTTTTTCCTCGATATTATCATATAGTATGTCCCACTCACGGATGCGGAAAAACAATTAAATAGATAGATAAGTTTCAAATGAACATTATACATTGATAAGCATACATTTAATTAGGATTAGTGTAGTTTCATCCTATATGAATAAGAGTGCCCAAGATACCAGAGCCTATTGGATAGGAATAAATAAAATTTCATAAAACGCTATTTTTTGAATCAAGTAATGGCCCAATCACAATAGCTTCAACAAAAGTTCCTTTCGATAGTTCAGAAAGCAAGTCGTTTGCTGGCAACTTTAATAACGCATTGCATCCGCGGAGACTCATTAGTCGACTACTTCGTTGAAAACCTGTCGAGTCAGCTTGGAAACTTCCCGTCTCATGATCAAAATGTATAATTACGCGATGAAATTCTGGGCGTGGATCGAGTTTGATAGTCTTGGATAGCTGGAAATTTCTCAGATTATTTAACTTGGATATCTAAATAATTGTTCCTTATTTTTAGAGCAATTACCTGTACATTGATTTTGGGTAGTTCCCAATTCGTGTATCCTGCCATTTTCCTAAGAGCAGGAAGGACAAACACGTAAAATGTCACGACAGCAGACACCGGATTACCTGGCAACGCGAAAACTAGTTTTTCACGCTCATTTGTTGGCTGTTCCCCGTTTAACTTTATGGTGGCGAATGTCGTTGGCAAACTACAATGTCATGATCATTTGAATAAAATGAAGCGTTTAAAATAAATGAAGTACTCGTGTCATGCTTTTTTACCCTGGTTTAAGCTTCACCCGACCAAAATGTATTTTTGCACCTAACGAACGTTCAAGTATTGTCTTTAGAAAATCCATTTCACCCATCGAAACTCCTCCCGTGGTAATTAATACGTCAACTTGTGATAATGCGGACTTGAGTTTTGATTCCAATTCCTCAGGACTGATCGAAGAGTTAATTGTTTAGAAACTATAAAAGAGATAGTAAATCTAATGAAATACTTTACTTGTCTCGACTAATTCCAAAATCCCTGGCTTCAAAGCCGACTGATTGAATAAGTGATAATAAAGTGAGTCGATTGGTATCACGTATTTCTCCATATTTTAATTCGATTGTTTCACTGTGATCAACAACTTCATTGCCAGTAGAAAGAACTCCAATTACTGGACGTCGAAAGACACGGAGCTAAAAATAATACATCGATTTATATTTATGTTATTTATATATATATATATATGTATATATATATATATATATATATGTATATATATGTGTATATATATATATATATATATATATATATGTATGTATGTATGTATGCTGTTATTTAATTCTGAAGCTTACATTTTTTATTCCTGAAGATGCCAATATACCAAGCTCGCCATCCACAGCTGATACAAGTTCACCACAGCGACCAACAGTTTCTCCAATCGCAATATCCGACCCAATTTCCCTAATTTTTTCACCTTCATGGGATTGAACGAGAATTTCCACTAATTCTTCATTTTTGCCATCAGCTGAAGTACGTACAAGGATTGTATCTTCAACCATAACAATAGCCGTTGCGCCAGGTGGCACATAACCTCCTGTTGCAATTCGAGCAATCTGACCGGATTTGAGAGGAGCGACTAAAGCGGATGAGGTAGCTAGTGAGATCGCAACCACCGGATAAGTTCCAGGTCCATCACTTGCTGTTTATATAACGCATTCAGTATAATGGTTGGAGAACGAATTTTGCCCTCAAGAGAATATAAGCGTAAAAATTCATACCCACTACTGCATAACCATCAACTATTGACGCACGATAACCAGGAACATTCTCTTTTGCGTTTACATCCTGAGCGAGAACATAACCAATTAATTTCTCATTAACCGGAACTTCGATCGTTTCTAAGGTCTGCAAATGATCAAAGACAAGTTTGAAGGCGTCGTCGATTGCGATCGCTGGATATGGAGATTTACGATAACGTTTTGAAACTGTAATAAGGGAACAGTATCACATGATTGATTCTAAAACAAAAAAAAAGTGATACAAATTTTTTCTAACAGAAATTTCTACCAGGAGCAGATAAAGAATTCGACAATAGAGTGTTGCTCTCGTGATTGTCAGAACTATGCATGTGCTCGTGGTGCAGACATTGATGAGAATGGTGAGCAACAGTATCTGTTAATTTATGGTCAGAATTCCTTTTTTTTCGCAGCTCTTGATGAAGTTCTTCGCCTGTTCCACCCCTGGTTAATTCAATTGCATGAGGCAAAATACTTAAAACCGCTTCAAAATTTTCTTTTGCTGCTTTGGGACTTCCAGGCAAAGTTAAGATGATGGATTTGCCACGAATGCCACTAACAGGGCGACTTAGTGCAGCAAATGGGGTTTTCGTCAAAGAACTAGAAATCATCGCATGAGTAAGACCCGGCGATAATTTGTCTATTAAAGGCGTAATCGCCTGTTTAGATTTTATCGTAGCAAAGTAATTAGATCGAACGCTCGAAGAGAATTCAACTCTTTGATTTCAAAGAAAACTTACTTCTGGCGTGAGATCTCTGATGCCAAATCCTGTGCCACCGGTAGTAATTACCAAATCTATGTTTTTTTCATCACACCAGATTTTCACAATTTCCTGGATTTTATTGAATTCATCTGGAACGCACGCCGTTTCGTCGATACGAAAAGTCGTTTTTGTAGTCTGCGCTTTCTCTAATAGAGTTTTTAGAGTTGGTCCACTAATGTCTTTACTTGGTTCGGCCGAGGCAGTATCACTCACTGAAATATTTTATTATCAGCAAATAACGATTAGGAGTCGAGTAATAAATGAAGACTAAATAAAAGACAACAAATGTTCTTGCCTGTCAAAATTCCTACTGAAATTGATCCTATTTGAAAATATTGGTTAATAAATAATCAAAGAAAAAGTGTTCGTCAAAGAGAATGATTACCTGCCATATTTTCCTGTACGGTCAACTCTTGCTACAGGAACAGCACTCTTTATAGTAACATTTTAGATACAGTAACGATAATACTGTTACAGACTTTTGGTATGCTATCAGCGTGGCAAATTATATTGATGAGCAATTTATTTAACTCAATTTAGTCAACTCAATTTAGTCGTATGATCAGTTTGCAGGAAGTGTATAAAAAGTTAGATCGAAGGATGAAGAAACGTTATCAAAGATGTAAAAACAATGGAGAAAAAATTGTTTTATTGGAAACGACTATGCATGAGCGTAACAAAGGAGTAAGTATCATATATATTTTCATCAATTATTTTAAATAAACTCGGTTTTCAATGCGATTAGTGTACTTACTACCATCGCCATCACTGTTACTGCAAAATATATTAAAAATGAAAAGTCTACTAAATTTTTTATCATTATCCTGAATTGTGTTATATTTGGGGCTCAAATTTTTATTGAACTTTTAAAATTGTTGAGAGAAGCATTTTTTGTTAATAAATCTTATATAGATATAATAATTATAAAAGATTATTAATAATATATATTATAATATTATTAGTATATTAGTACATAGCCAGAGTTGTGCGTCAAATAATCCAAAAAGAGCATCTAAGATTATTGATAAGCATTTGCAGGATCGAGATTCACTAAGGCAACTGACAATCCCCTTGCAATTAGGTTGGATTGGTAGTGTATTGAGTCTTTCTAATGAATAGAATATGATTTCAGATATGCTAGATATTCTTTCATATTCTGCAATTTTATTTTCTTTTTCTCGATCTCACGTCACAATTTTTTATTTGTATTGATTTATTCCTCATGCTATTTAGTGATTTCTTGCCAAAAGTCTTTTTGTTATACTTGAGCAACTGCTAATATAAAATATCAAGCTCTTTTTTAAGTTGATAATTAATTTCCTTCTCATGATTACATGTACAAATATCTGGAGTTTGGATTTCTTGCTTAGTTATGTCTATGTTGTATATGTGTAATAAATTTTCAAATAATTAACTTTATCATTGATATTTTAATTTTTTTTTGATATTTATTTATTTCATGTCTTAAAAATAACTTAACTAATGAATTCATTATACTGGCTTCTTTCTTTGTTATTGGGTTTCTTTTTTGAGAAATAAAATATATTCAAGCTTCACATACAAGTAATAAAAAATAATTTGTTAATCAAATTTGAATATGTTTTATTAAATTTTATAATATATAGTATCAAAAAAACTTTAATATTGTATTTTATATTGCAAAAAAATTGGAATCTTTCATGAAAATTATAAAGTATATATAGATAAATATTAACAAAAAAATTCTCAAAAAATAATAATCTAAAATATTAACTTGTTAAAAATATTTTAGGTAAATTTTATTTTAAATAAATAAATATATTAAATCAAATAAATATAAATATAAATATAAATATATATATTATAGTAATTATATATTATTAACTTGATATGTTTCTTTTTGAATAGTTTATAATACTTAGCTAACTATATAATACAAATATCAAATAACTAATAATATTATTTAATAAATCTTTTTTTATGATTGTATATGTTCTGATCTTTTTTGCTATTTTTCAAATATATTTAATCCTTTTAATAAAATTATCTATTTATAATTTATAATAATAAATAGCTAATCTTGTATAACTATCAGATTTAAATTTTTGTTTAAGCTCTATATATTTTTTGAAGTTAATATTACAATATCTATTTTTAATACAATTTTTATATTAATATTTTTTCATCTTATAATTATAATATAATTTATATTATATTCTTTTATTACTATAAACAAGCTAATTATAGTTATAATATATAATATTATTTATTTTAATAATATTATGAATGAATTTTTATCAGATTTATATATTAATTTAATATTAATATGATTATATCTAGCTAATTAAACTCAATTATAATATAAATAAATAATATTATTGAATAATAATATATATTATTATCATTCTACCTTTCATCAACTATATCACATTATATTTTTAGTGCAGTAATATTCATTTAAACTTTTTCTTTTATTTTTACTTTTCTATATTTCTTATATTATCCAATAGCAATAATTTACTTTCTTATCCAATTATTTTATATTATTATTGCATCATTTTTATTTAGATTTCATCATCATTTAATTTACCAATCATCTCATACTATTATTATATCATTTTATATTTTAAATCTTATTGGTACTTTATTTTTGTCT